ACTGCTGGACTCTACATCATTTGCTATAGTAACAGGACATCCACCCTTATTCTTTTTTTTTTTTTTTTCATTATCATTTGAGTGAATATTTACTAAAAAAATTAACTTTCCATGCAAAATTTCTACAAATTTTGTTCTGTGACATTAACTTCAATATGCACAATAGACTTAGTTTCTTCTGTTTCCTCCCTGGAATTCTGACTTCACGAACTTTTCTATTCCTTTGTTTTCTCTGTCTTTTCCTGGCACTGTGCTGACGTCATACCCTATTCACGTTCCCCTCACTTCCCTTAACATGTGCCTGATAACTGTTTAGGGATCTCTAGTGGTAAAGAGCTGCATTGCAATCCCAAAGGCATGTGGTTTAAATCCACTAGCTGATCCATGGGAGAAAGATGGGCAATCTCCTCCTGTGAGATTACATTGTCTCTGAAACCCTCTGATGGGTCAGCTGAGGGTCAGTTGTGGCTCCACGGTAAACAATAACAACATCATCTATTTACTAACTTTTACTCCTCTCTCCCTCCTCTTCCATCCCTGGTAACCATCCAAGAATGAGTCTATATGTGGGTAAACCTTTCCTGAGCTTTTTTAATAGTAGTCTTAAGCCATGATTATCCCCTGTGACTGACCCAATGTCCTCTAGATGTCCATGGTACTTATTGTTTAACAAAATGGTTTTCACTGTTGCATAGTACTCCACTGCATGGAAGCACCATAGTTTCTTTATCCATTCATCTGTTGATGGGCAGTTGTTTCTGTGCGAGCATGCACACTTCGGGTATCTCTCAGTCACTGAGAACAGACTGAGCAAGGAGGCCTCTCTCTCCTGTGAACACATGTCACAATGTGTAACTGTCATCTTTGCACAGTAGAATTCCTAGCAGTTCATAGAAAACCTCCTCCTGATTTGCCAGGGGAAATGTGGGTTAGTGACAGCATCCAAGAATGCTTGAGGAAGGTACGAGATGTAGCCCTCGAGTCAGCAATGGATGATATCAGTGCAGTATTAGGACATCATCAACTACCCCCTGTCGGTTTATTATAAATTTTCTCTCTGGCTGTAAGAGTAACATGGACTTGATGGAGGAAATTGGCAGACTTAGCAGGAGAAGAGATTCTTTTTAAAAAAAATTAATTTTAATGAAAGTTTACAGAGACTTGGGATTTCCAGTCATTCATTGTTGCACTTTTCTCCCTGCCCACTCCCTCCCCATCAAATCACACTTCTCCTTGAAAAGAAAAAGGAAAACTCTTTTATTGTCATGCAGTCCCTCCCTTCAAGTCCACTCCAGTATGCAGCCTTCACTTTGGACTTCTATAATGACAAGAATACCCATCCATGTGTACCTTTTAAACCATTCTCTCCCTCATCTGTTTCAATGCAGTATACATCATTCCTCCCCTCCTTTTCTGTCTTCCCTCAGCCCTGATGTCAGGAGATTCTTTTATCAGCACTAATGTTAGCTTTTTTGCATTCATATTCCTCTAAATGTATAGCAGGAAGCTCTGGTGACCTAATGGGTAAGGAACTGTGCTCCCAGCCCAATGGCTGATGGTTTGAATCCACCAGTTGCTCTGGAGGAAAAAGATGATAATAGGCATTCAGTCTTCTGTTGTGTTATGGTCTCTGAAAATCCACCAAAATTTATAGCATTTCAAAACAAACCAAAGAAAACTCTTAGAAACACTTTTCAAGTTAGGTTTTATTAAAATCATACACTATTTTAAGTATCAGATCACCTGCATTTGGGTACTGAAATCCAAAAGCTAGAAATTGACTTGTCACTGTTGGTTTTGATTGGTAACAGCACAACAGGAGAGGCAGACCTCCCACAGGGTCCCCGAGGCTGTTGTCCTGGTGCCTTCTGCCACCTCTTTTCCCGCCCAGTGACTGAGGGATTTGAACCCGTGTTTTGGTGGACAGGCAGTCATGGACCGCTTTGACCCAATGTTAAATAAATCTAATTCTTCCCTACTTAGCCAGCCTTCAGCTATTACGTCCCTTTTTCGCTGGCTGACCGTTCCCTGTTTAGCCTCAGAGCACCTTCCCTGGGCTTCTGCCCCGCGATGCTTACTACAGAGCCTGGCTGCTCCAGTTCTCAGGGGACAGGGACACAGGACTGGGTAGGTTTGTTGCTTCTATTTGTAGTCAGTCACCGACCAGTAGTCCTTGGTTCTGCTGTGCATGAGCACCTGGCCCGTCCACGAGTGTCTCGCCCCTCAGGCTCCATCCCATCTGAACTCAGCTGCATCCTGTTCCATCAAACAGGCCCACTGAGCAGGCCTTTGGTAACTACCCCAAAGTTCACCTGCTAGAAAACTTTCTAAACACCTGCCTCCATGTCGGTATCTCCCTCGTCATGACCACGAAGCACACTTTGGGTGGCCCTGCGATGCAGCCCCACCGGAAGTGGGACATTTTCTGTGCTTTCTTCAGAGATGGCTGCTTTGGGAACCAGTCATTCAGAAGAAGCTGTATGCTGCATTTTCATTTTTCTTCCTCCAATGATGACCCTATAACTGTATCTCTAGTTGCACATGGTCTGTTTGTACCACCACCTTGCTCTGTGGCTAGTAAACAGGTGAACCTGAAAACTAAAGAAATCCCATTGACGTAGACGAATCATAAGGCTGCCCCCAAACAGATAGAGAAGCCTTTGCTTTTTACCTCTATTTTAGGGAAGTGGAAGCTGGGGAAGAGTCTTGGGGGGATGTGCTTAAAATACACGTAAATAATTGATGCATGCATCTTGATAGGGCTCTGTAGAAAGACATCGGAGTTTGTAGGGGGTCCGCAGAAGAGGGGGACAGCGTGAGCAAGCGATGGGCATGCTGACTTAAACACACACGGGTCATGAGGGCATAGGAGCAGGAGGTTTATGTCTGGTTTACATTACCTGGCTAAGAGTTGAAGCCACTTTGGATGGTACCTGAGAGCAACTAAGCCGTCTGTTGTTACATCGTTGAAAGCAGTTGGTTTACATGGTTATGCATGACCCTTAGCTTGGGTTCCCTCTATTCCTTTGCTTAGTACATACACATCGCTTTAAATGTGGAAAAGAATTGCCATTCTACTCACCTAAATTATTAGAAATTAATGAGTCTCGTTTAATGAGAATGTGCCATATTGCAAAAACTATAATTAGAAAGTCAGTGAATTCATTAACATAGCAATGCTCAGAAAATAAACGAAGATATCTTGTTGACGGGATGGATACATGCCATGTAGCCGCACTGCCACAAACAACTTCTTGTGACTTGAGGTGCAGAAGTGGGTTACAGAACATCAGCTGCCTTCAGATCAGGTCAAGTTCACGACGGTCCTGGTCACGGTGGCCCCGTTCACGGTGACCACCTAGCTCAGTGCTACCTTCCAGAGGGCTTACAATGACTATGGTCTCTCAGGAGATCAGCCAGACCTTCAGAGGCAAAGCAAGGGGTTTTGAACCCTTCGCCTTTTGGTCATTTGGCAAATGCTTAACCTTGTGCCAACCAAGGACCCCAAGTAACCCTAACTGCACACAGTCATTCTACAGCCATTTACGATGAGCCTTCTCCAGGCCAGGAAGCGTGCATCAGGGAGTGACTCCACAGCCACTTTAGAAGGCTGATGGCATTTATTTGTGAGGAGACAGATGCTTTGATATAGTAACAAACTCATGATCCAACAACTAGAAAGGGGGCAAGGTGGGACCCCAAAATGTAAGTCCACCTTGTTCATAGCCCCGTTCTTCAGCATTGCATTACACCTCACACATTGACAGGAAAAACACTTAGGAGAGTCAATCTGATCATGGAACTCCAAGTTGGAACTTTCTCATGACTTCCTCAAGGTTGCAGTAACTGCCAAGTCCACCCTACCCCACCCCCGACCTCAGCCAGCCCTGGCTCTGTCCTCCTCGTGCAGTATCCGGCCAAAGTGTTAAGCAAATTGTTAAGCAGACCACCCGTTCCCAGCCCAGGACCTTTGCACTTGGCTGGGATATGCTCATGGCAGTGGACAGGTTCCCTTTCACAAGGCAGTTCCAGGAATAATCTGGCATTAACAGCATTGAGCCTGCCCCCCTAAGGTAAGCCCCGAGAGAAACCACTTGGCTGTGGCAGGAGACAGGAGCATGGAGATCTGCCTGTGAGTCCCTCCCTCGGCCGGGTGACAAGCGGACAGCTGCAAAGTCCATTCTGCACAAGGTGCTGGTGGACACGTCACCAGGCACACGTCACACAGATTGCCTGCTGTAAAGCCTGAGTGTGTCATTGGCCACTTGTGTGCAAGGGTGACTGAGCCTGTTAACGCTCAGAGAGCCCTGCACCTTCCTCCCGAGACCCCGACAGTTGTCCCTGCTCTGTCCTCGTGACGTGCATGTGGACTGGCAGACACAGTGGCTGTCCCTGGACTCAGGCGTCTCACTTTGGGGCTCCCTTTGCTTTTATCTGATTTCATTTGCAGCAGTAGAGGCTGAGTGATTTCTCCACCGTAAATATCACAGCTGTTGTGGAAAGCATTAATTGCACACTATCACGTTACTCTCCTTTTCTTGGATCAATTTCTGGGTAATCTGTTTGCAAGTTCTATTACTGTGAATCGTAAGGGAACGCGACGTGAAATAAGCTAACTAAACATATTGGAAACATTTGTACTGAAATGGCTGACGGCTTAGGGAGGGAAATATTCGTGTCTGTGGCCGACAATGAAAGAATGCTTTTCCAAAAGCCCTACCCAGAAGTCTTGAGTGAAATATGGGTAATTTTTCTTTGGGGAGATCAATAAAATAACTATTTTCAAAATGACGTGATATTGACCAAAAGGTCAGAAATGCCCTGCGCATTGATCCCATGTCCATAATCACTTTTTTTGTTTAGTGAGTTAAGCAGCTCTACACAGTTGAATGCAGAGAAACCCCGTTCATCATTTAAACAAACGATTTATAAAGCGTCTGACAGCTCACCCCTCCGGGCTCCATGGCATGTCTCATCGAGAATGCCCTTTCTTTGTCTAGGAAGTGGACCTGTTCCGGGTCAACAGCCAGGACAAGCTAGGCCTCACCGTGTGCTACCGGACGGATGACGAGGACGACATTGGCATATACATCAGTGAGGTACGTGTGACCTACCTCTCAGATCAAGACAGAGGGCGGGGGACCCTTCCCCTTTTCCGGATTGCTGTTCAGTGCCATCCATTTGGCTTCTGACCCATGGTGCCCTCGTGCCTGAAGCTATGAAACTCTGCCCACCCCTGTACCATCCACACAGTCGGCTGTGCATCAGCCTGTTAGGAACCACAGGGATTTTAGTGAGTGACTGACTTTCACACCTTTCCTTCTACCCCATCTCCACAGGAGGCTCTGCTAAAACATGGTTGACATCATCACCAGCACACAAACACACTGTTTCCATTCAGACACATGTGCATGGAATGCAATGAGTAGGAATCGAACCCATGTCTCTCCCGTGAAGGGCAGGAATGCTCCCATTGCCCCCCCACACACACTGCCTCTTTAGATGTTTGCAGCCTTAACTCTGGCTCACCCGCAAGTTTAGGTTTGTAGTGTTTTTTATTTAAAGGCACAGACATTACTTCGCTCCCTTCACGTCACTCCATGAAGATGCAGCTTTCCCTGGGGTTAAGTTCTATCGTCAGCACGTAAGGCAGACTTCGTCTGGAGAAGCAGCAAATCAGCCATAAAATGGGGAAAGCTTACATGGTTGTATGTGTTTAACCCTGAGGGGACGAAGGAGTCACACTGCCCAATGCATCCAGTGTCCTGGGGATGGAATCACACTTCTGCGGGCTTCTCCCTGTCTCTCTTGATCAAGTGTGTACGGTTGACTTCATCTGTGTTACATGCAGCTTCAGAGGACAGGCAGAAGCTGGTTTGAATTTTACAGAGAAGACAGTGCAAACCAGCTGGAGTTGGTTCTTTACCATGGCTACCCACCCTGGCATGCACAAGGTTTGGTTGGGAAAATTTTGCCCAGATAAGAAGCAGTTTCTTTTTCTTTAATTTTATTATTGTGTGTGTGTGTGTACTGTCAAATCGGATCTGATCTGGTGGATTCAAACCACATGCTTCTGGTATTACAGTGCAGCTTCTTGCCACTAGGCCACTAGAGCTCCCTAAGAATCAGTTTCTAAGCAGAAAACCCAAGGATGTGTCTGTAAGGGTTAGTCAGCCCACCGCAGGTTTTTTATCCACCAAATTTAAATGGAGCCGTTGAGACTCTAGGGATGCTCCTTCCATCTGCAATCCTTTGTGGTTCAATTACATTTCTGTATTAAAAAGATTTCCCAAAACTTTATCTAAGTATTTGATATAAAATTGCCAGGATGTGGTTGGTAACATAGCAAAGGGTCGGGTTGTCCCCTTTAACTTGTTCTGCACCATTGATTGAAATCCTGCACCTGCAAGAAGATTTACCACGTCTCCTCCTGGTCCAGTAACTGCCAGGACCAGCTGCTAAGAACAAGCTCTAGAACAGGCTCTGGAACATATCAACCCATTTGTCTCTCTTTGCAGGACACCTAAGACTTCTTGTTTATTTCTGTGTAAGACTAAAACCAGCGATGAGTTTGACTGTTGGTTAGGGGACAGCCTTTAGCGTCTGCTGATTTTTTACTGTTGAATGTATCTGGATTGGGTTCTGAAATGTCCCCTGCATGTTTCAGATCGATCCAAATAGCATTGCAGCCAAGGACGGGCGCATTCGAGAGGGAGACCGCATCATCCAGGTGGGTCTGCGATGGAGGGCCTGTCACTGGTTCTAGTACAGCTGTGGGGCTGAGCATGTAGAGGTTAGAGAGCAGGGAGGTGAGTTGTAACAGCGGGAGGTGACAGCCAGGACACTCTGGAGAGGGTGCTCCGCCAGCCGCTGTCCCCAAGCAGGCTAATCGCTGCCTCGTACACTCTGAACCGGCTCACCTCATTTCCTGTCATCCTGTGGAGCCTGAAACCACGCATCCGTGGGACACATCACGCCAACAATCTACTGCTTCTGAGGTGGAGTAATCTCCGAAGGATTAGTGTTCAACTAACTGCTTCAAGTTTGGTCTTGCCCGTCAAACAGGAGCACCTTTGGCCAATCTAGCAAAGTTGATTGAGCAGTTCTTTTACATTCAATGACTCAACATTTATGCATTACAGGGAATCGCTTCCCAGGCTACTTCATCTCAAGCCGTGGTGTTCCTTCTAGTCAAAGGGAGGGTATGTCTCTCTCGGGCAGTGGCGCTGAATCTCACAGACAGTGCACTGCTGGGGTTTTTGTATCCCAGAGGGCTTGGCTTGCTGCCTCTTCTCCTCTGTAGGGCCTCATTTCAAATCCACTGCATTTTTTATTACTACAAACATCACCACGGATATTCTTCCTCCTCCTATTGCATATTCTGATTTTCCAGCCTGCAGCCAGACCTACTTCTCAGTCACCTCATACAGACCCTCCTTGCCTAAAGAATGGCCCACCCCTCCTTCCTAGAATGGTCCTCGCTAGTCTTGCCCCCTTCATTTGCTGTACTTTTCCATCAACCTCTCTGTTGACCAGAGAGAGAGAGTCTTGTCTCACGTGATAGAGCTGCAGCAAGCCCCTTTCTCCTTGGTATTCAGGATTAGCCAGCCAAGTCACCCTTTTTCTCTATCAGTTCTATGGCATAAGGAGACCTCATGGCTGGGTAGAAGGCTTCTCTCCCAACTTAACGAAAACACTGTTCTGTTCCCTAAAGGCAGCATCCCCAGTGGGGCTGAGACTGCCAGAGCAACAGAGCTCAAAGTTGTAACAGGAAGTAAAAATCCTGCAAGGGAGTCATCGAGTTTGACAGTGTGGGTGACTCTCACATGCTCTTCTGTTTTGCTTACAGAAGGGAAGGTACCACACTGGGGACAAAGATCACCATTCTAACATCATCCCTGCCCTTCTCTGTGTTGATGTTGAATCCCTCACTTCCTCTCACCGCACAGTGACTTCAGTGCATGCAATAGATCCCTGTCAGCCCCTCTTCACAGGATTCTAGCATTCTTCTGAGTGGTGCCATCCAAAGCCCGTGACACTGCAGTGCACACAACCTCTGTTCTATCAGCCACTGCCCACTACTAGCCATGTAGCCTCTGTATTCTTATCAGCAGCAACCAGGCTACCCCCAAGGAGTGTCTCTCATAGACCAGAGAAGCAGTGTTGGCATCGGCAAGATCTTTTCTCCCCCAAATCAAGATTCTTTATAGCTCTGTGGAAGGTGTGTCTCAGCGGTGAGGAGGTGACAGAAATGGTACAGAATGAGGGCACGCTGTTACTATGCAACCGTCCACTTGTACCCAACAACTCAATTGCCCTGTTCTTCCCTTTTTTCAAAGATTAACGGGATAGAGGTACAAAACCGTGAGGAGGCAGTGGCACTTCTAACAAGCGAGGAAAACAAGAATTTCTCCCTGTTGATTGCACGGCCAGAGCTCCAGGTGGGTCCCGTTCCTACAGGTGGACCTGGGGGCGTGTGTGGTTAAAATGAAGCCATGGAGACAGCCCCAGTGCCCATCAACTGATGAATGGGCAAACTGTGGTTCATACAGACAGTGGAATATTACGCAGGTAGAAAGCGCAGTGAAGCCCTGATCCCACAACATAGACAAACCTTGAAAACATGTTAAGTGAAAGAAACCTGTCACCAAAAAAATAGATATGGTATGATCCCACTTACAAACTATAGAAAAGGCAAATGCATAGAAGCCAAAGTAGATCAGTGGTTACCAGGGAGGAGGTGGTGGCAGGGGGAGGCTAACCTTGGCAGTGAAGATCGTGTTGCTGTTTGGGGTGATGGAAAATTTTAAAAATTCTTAGAGTTGGTGTTTGCAGAACATGATGATTGAAAGTCGCTGAATGAATGAAGGAAGGAAGGAATGAAGGTAGGTAGGTAGGTATTGGGAACTCTGTGTGGCATGTTTGCTGCAGATTGATCAGCGAGCACAAGTTCTGCTTCCGGGCTCATCCTCTGCTGGCTTCATGCTGGGTGTGAGTCAGAGACGCACTGCAGTAAGCCTTCCATAGAGAGAATACCAGAACATGTGCTTGGCACTTCTGATCCTCTTACAGTGGCTCCAGTCAAGTGTCCAGCTCAGGGCTCTTTAGGTATGAAAGCCAATTTGAAAGGCATCTAGGAACAGCACAGAGTGTCCAGGTGACCACAGATGGCACAACCGTGAATCTGAACAAATTTTTTAATACCAGAGGTCAGCTACCTTTTTCTTAAAGAGCCGAATGATAAATATTACCAGCTTCATGCACCATACAGTCTTTGTTCCAATTAACTAAATCGTGCTGGTGGAGTGGGAAGGCAGCCGCAGGGAGATAAAATGGAAGTGAACAGGCATGGCTGTGCTCCAGCAAAATGTAAAAGAAAAAAAAACAAATACACTGGTGGTAAGCTGGATCTGGGGTTTGGCTCATGGGCCATAGTTCCTTGGCCCCTCGGCTAATGCTAATCAGTTATAGTGATAGACCTTGCCCAAACAAACAGTGCCTTTGGAGAGGTAGGGTTTTTGACTGAGAGAGCATTTTCCACACTAAAAGTGTAGGATCTGCTAACTTGTATGTGGGGTGGCCAGCAGCTAGATTGAGCCGCCCTTCCCTGACACGACAAGTCGTTTACCTTCAGTGGAAGGTGCGCACAAAAGACTTCATGCCTCACCTCCACCCAGACAAGGAGACAGCCCCTGGCTGGAGGGGCTCGTTGTGAGGACAGGGTCATTTTTTACAGCTCCTGGAGGAAGCGCTAGAAATATATTTATTCCCTCCTCCCTCTCCGAGCATTATCCTTGGCTTTTAACAATTTAAGTAATTGAAAGGAAAACGCAAGGAAGCTTCTAATGCACGTGTTGGCTGCTGCTTCCCCTAGCTGGACGAGGGCTGGCTGGACGATGACCGGAACGACTTCCTGGATGATCTCCACATGGACATGCTGGAGGAGCAGCACCACCAGGCCATGCAGTTCACAGCCAGCGTGCTGCAGCAGGTAGGAGCGCTGGCAGGACCTCCCCGCTGAGAGGGGCATTGGTGAACTGCAGGCCACTTCTCTTCCTGGCAAGCAGGGTGCTGCTCTGGCTTTTCAGGCTGAGCGGTAATGCCAAGGTAGAGCCAGCCTTTTGAAACTTGGTTTGCAAAATGCACGTGACAGTCTAAACATAAAATGAAATATGCTGCTGTGTCTGTAGTGACTCACGGGAGCCCTGTGTGTCCCAGGGAAGCTCTGCTCCCACAGGGGATTCCTGGCTGTGATCTGTTCCAGGCAGATCACCACACCTTTCCTTTTATGCACCAGTGGGATCAAACCACCAACCTTTCAAGTGCTAATTCACCTGCACCACCCAAGGATTCCATGCATTAGTGCATATAAGTGGAAACAAGCATGTTTCTAGAGTAAACCAAGTCTCTCCATTTATTGTGAGCTGTTTCGAGTACTGTATCTGGCCACTACCACTCTACTAGCTCCTATGTGCTTCCTGCTTCGCAAATGTTAAGCACTGGAACAGACCCATAGCTATGTTCCAGTGGGTTTTTGGAGGCAGTGAATCGCAAAAGGTAGAAACTGGCCATCTTTCTTCTGTGAAGCAAGGGATAGATTTGAACCGTGTGCCTTCAGGTTAGCAACGCCAGCTCCTTACCACTAAGCCACCCGTGTTCCCTCTTTCCCACCTGAGATGTATTTAATAAGTCAACTCTTTTTAACCTCATTTTAAGATCGAAATACAAAATAAGGCCTTTCCCAGGTTAGAGGTAAACGTGTTGCCTTCAAAGTGACCCTGACACTTGGTTGACCCTGTGTATGTGTCAAAGAACTGGACTCCTGATATATCTCCAAAAATAAGACACTGAGAACTATCAAGCTTTTTTCTAAGGGTACATTTGAACCACTGACTTTTCACTTAGGAGCCAAGCACTTAAACATTACCAGTTCCTGTCAGATTCTATGGAGTCAGCTCCAACTCATGCAAATGTCACCCTGTCCTGATAGAGGTCCCTCTGGCTAATGTCCACCCCGTGTGCTGGGTCCTTTGGAGGGACAAATGGTTACACTCAGCTCTGGATGTAGTCCATTGGGTTGCCCTGCTGACCCAAAGGTGGCATCTCTCTTGTGGTTTGACCCCACCAGTGACTCCACTGGGGAAAAAGGTGGGCAGTCTCCTCCCCTGCTATTTACAGTCTTGGAAACCCTAAGAAGGGTCAGCTGTGAGTCGGTTCTGATTTGATGGCAGTGAGACTAATGTAAGGATTGGCAATTTGAGCCCACCCAGCATTTCTGCAGAAGAAAGGCTATCTTCTGCTTCTGTGCAGATTACACCCAAGAAAACCGGATAAATCAGTTCTGCCACACAACAAAAATGTGATCTTCCACGAGTCTGAACTGACTCCAAGTCAACAGATTTGGTTTTAGTTTTGCCCTAGTCCTGATATTAGGGAGGGAACTCTGGTGGCTTGGTGGTAAATTGTGCTGCCATCCCAAAGGTGTGTGGTTCGAATCCACCTGCTGCTCTGCAGAAGATACCAAATCTCCACTTGTGAGATTTTGTGCTTCTGAGAACGTCCTGGTGGGTCAGCTATGAGTGGGTTCTGACTCCACAAACACCACCTAATATGCTGATATTATATATGCTGGTTCCCTGCTTTGGAAACACAGAGGCTGCCTCATCTAGAAACCCCTATACTAGCAATGGTCATCTGGGTGTAATTGCTCCTCTGAACGCGTGTTCTCGTTTCCTGTTTTGCAGAAAAAGCACGAGGAAGACGGCGGCACCACGGACACGGCCACCATCCTGTCCAACCAGCACGAGAAGGACAGTGGCGTGGGGCGGACGGACGAGAGCACCCGCAATGACGAGAGCTCGGAGCAGGAGAACAACGGGGACGACCCCGCGGGCGCCTGCAACCCGCTGGCCGGCCAGCGCAAGCTGACCTGCAGCCAGGACACGCTGGGCAGCGGCGACCTGCCCTTCAGCAACGAGTCCTACTGCACGGACGCCGACTGCCTGGGCATCCCCGCCGACGAGTGCGAGCGCTTCCGAGAGCTGCTGGAGCTTAAGTACCGCGTGCAGAGCGCCAGCCCCTTCGGCCTGGACGAGCCCAGCAGCCCCCCGGACGCCGGCCGCAGTGACCCCGAGAGCGTGGACAAGGAGCTGGAGCTGCTCAACGAGGAGCTGCGCACCATCGAGCTCGAGTGCCTGAGCCTCGTGCGCGCGCACCGCCTGCAGCAGCTGCGCCAGCAGTGCCGCGACGCCTGTGCGCTGCACCCGGGAGGCTTCCGCGCCTGCGCAGCCAGCCCTGACATGCACCCTGGCAGCTATCGCGCCTGCGCCAGCCTGGACGTGCGGGGCCGCGAGCTGGCTGACATCACCGAGCTGCCCGAGAGGTCCGACAAGGACAGCTCCAGCGCCTACAACACCGGCGAGAGCTGCCGCAGCACCCCGCTCACGCTGGAGATCTCCCCCGACAACTCCCTGCGGAGGGCCGCGGAGGGCAGCGGGGGAGAAGGGGCCGCCCCCCAAAACCTACTCACCATCACCGAGGATGCCGACGTGGCCACCCCCGGCTACAGCCCTGCGCCTGAGCTGGGCCTCGGCCAGCCCCCCGAGGGCACCGAGGTGAAGGCCGAGGGCGGCCGCAGCCCCACGCCCAGCGCCAAGCTGGGCAGCGCCTACCTGTCCCCCTGCCACCACTCGCCCTACAAACACGCGCACATCCCGGCGCACGCGCAGCACTACCAGAGCTACATGCAGCTGATCCAGCAGAAGTCGGCCGTGGAGTACGCGCAGAGCCAGATGAGCCTGGTGAGTGTGTGCAAGGACCTGCACGGGGCCGGCCAGGCCGAGCCCCGGATGGAGTGGAAGGTGAAGGTCCGGAGCGACGGCAGCCGCTACATCACCAAGAGGCCCGTGCGTGACCGGCTGCTGCGCGAGCGCGCCCTCAAGATCCGCGAGGAGCGCAGCGGCATGACCACGGACGACGATGCCATCAGCGAGATGAAGATGGGGCGCTACTGGAGCAAGGAGGAGCGCAAGCAGCACCTGGTGAAGGCCAAGGAGCAGCGGCGCCGGCGCGAGTTCATGCTGCAGAGCCGCCTGGAGTGCCTGCGCGAGCAGCAGGGCGCCGACGACAAGCGCGAGGTCAGCATCCTGGAGCTGAGCCACAAGAAGATGATGAAGAAGCGCAACAAGAAGATCTTCGACAACTGGATGACCATCCAGGAACTCTTGACGCACGGCACCAAGTCCCCCGACGGCACCAGGGTGTACAATGCCTTCCTGTCCGTGACGACTGTATAATGCCAGCGCGTGCGTTCTGTACATAGGACAGCGCTACCACTGGGGTAGAGATTCCTGCCTCGTTCAATGCGGCAAGCTTCTGTACATAAGAGAAATCCCGTACCCACATGAGAAGTGGACGTGACCTCCTCTACAACACTGGGTGCCGGAGCTAGCTCCAAACCGCGGAGCTAAACCACCGTGACCTGTCTTGGAAGGCAATAGAAAGAATAAGAGCTTTTTTTTCCAAATAGCAATTGTGCTTTTTTACCTGTTATCTTTTACATAAAGTGTTTAAATTTAAAAAAAAAAGAGGAAAGCTTTTTATTAAGCATACTTTCACAAAATTTGTTTAAACTATATTCATACGAAAAAAGTTAAATGTGCTTTTTTTTTTTCCTGCCTAAAACACAAATAACAACTGCCAATATGTATTTTTACTGGAACCCTATTTTGTAATGTTTCTTTGCTGAATGTGTTTCCTACCCGTGGCCATTAATACGTAGGTCAAGGTGTCAGCTCAAGCCACCGAACTCTGGATAATGGATTAGCACACCTAACAAAACCCACAGTGGTTAGTATTGAGATACGCATTTAAGCATATTTCTGCTTAAGATTCCAGTGAGAGAGAAAAGGTTTTGACTCGAAGCAAAAAATGGTGCAGCTTTACTCAAGATGAAAGCATGTTTGCAAATCCTGCAGCCTTTGGGAAGAATCTGCATGTACAGCAAAGTCGGGGATGGAGACGGTTTGTGGAGTTTTCCGTGCTCACTGTAGTAAGCCTTTGATTTGTAGACTTGAAGGGACAGCAAGTTGGTGAAATCATGATTAGTTACAAACATTAAGTAAAATGAAGTTAAAATAAATTATTATTTTCTATTTGATATGTTTTGAAGTGATTCCTCATTTTGCAGTGGTACCTATAAAATAAAAAGCCTTTTGCAATGTTTCTTTTCTTGCTTGTATTCCCTGCTCCATTGGAGTGATTTGAACCTTCCAGACCCTCTTGACAATTCTATGTGGATGTCAAACTAAGGTCTCCCAGCAAACAATAAGGGGCCAGATTCTCCAAGGAATCCTGCATTCTGTGTTAAAAAGAATAGTTGCGGGGAGCTCTGGTGGCCTAGTGGCAAGAAGCTGCAACTACAATCCCAGAGGTGCACGGTTCGAATCCACCAGATGCTCTGCCGGGGAAGGAGGGGCAATCTCCTCCTGTACCAGTCAGATCTGATTTGACAGTACACACACACAAAACTTAATAAAATGATTTTTTAAAAAATTTTTAAAAAGAATAGTTCCAAGCAAGTTTATCAGGCAGGGTTACGGTTTTGTTTGTTTTTTAATTTTAAAATCCTTTACTAAAAATTCAGAAAAGTAATCATTGAGCTATATAATAAATTATATTTAAATATAGTTTTATAGATTGGTGATTATGTTGAAGATTAAAAGCATCAAAGAGTAGTAAAAACCTGCAGAAGATGATAGCTGTAATTTGTTATAATGTTGGGAAAAGTAACAGGCAGCAAATAGGAAATTAGAACTTTTAGAAAGCTAAGAAGTTTGCACAATTTCTAAATTGATAAACGAATGACTAAAGGAAAAAAAAAAGAATGACTTACTTTCTCCTTTGGAAAATAATCCTAATAAATTGCTTCTTTTTTCCCTCTTATCATTCTAATTTGTGCCATTACATAAAGTTAAACTGATTAAGCACTCAGCCACAAACCAAAGGTCACAAGGCAGGCAGTGTTATGTTTTAAATGAAACCTCTCTGGTTTCTTGGAGCCCTTATAGCCTGACCCAGCTTTTCATTTCTAAGATGCACAGAGAGTGGGCTTCAAAATGGCAAAATTTCAGACTACACCACCACCTTGTTGTTTGCTGTTGTACTTAGTGTCAGAACCAACCCGTAGCTGACTCTCTGGTAGCTTTTCAACGACAGTTAATTCTATGGGAGGAAATTGTCCATCTTTCTCCCATGGAGCGGCTGGTGGCCTCGAAATCATGTGCCTTCAGGATCGCAGCAGACTCTTGCCACCAGAGCTCCCCAGTTGTTGTCACATGCCATGGAGTTGCCTGACTCACAGCAACCCGATGTACAACAGCTCTGAGCCCTGCCCTATCCTGAGCCATCTCACTGACTCTGACACACCTCTAAATAATGAATTTGCAACAAACTTCCCTAATTGTAGTGTTTCAACCGATACCCACTATAATACCTCCTGAGAAGACTAGCACTAGGAAGGGTGCCATTTTCATTGCCAGACAGCTGATTTATTCTCTAACCTAACTGAAACTGTGATTGAAATAACCAGGCATTTAGGCATTTCAAATCAAGACTGGACCCACATTCTCCATTCCAACCAGAACCCTCCTTGGAGACCAGAATCATGAGACTAATCCGTAGGCACACGGTTAATAGGACAGTTTAGTGAAAATAACGCATCGAAATCCATATTCCTCACTCAGATGTTTGTTCATTACCTCTCTCAGAGCCAAGCATTGCTAAGATAATTATGTCTGCTACATTATTCTAATCAACCCTCTACTGTGAGGATTTTGCAAAAGGTGGCTTCTCAGGGGCCTGGGTTTCCCCATATTCTCCAAGACCTGCTTCCTAGAGAATTGAGCCCTGGCTCCCAGGATAGAGTCCCATCTCCAGCACTCTTACTTTCTTTTCTCATCTAATGTTTCACAGCAAGCCTGGCCAGGTGGATTATACCTTGCTGAGAGTAAGTGTATGAATATCTTTGGGGAAATAACTTTCCTCCCCTTCCACATTTTTTATCAAAGGCCAGCCAGGCATGTGTAGTCCCCAAAAAGGACGTGCTCAAACCCACTCATGTGACATGAGAATCAGCCAGGAGTGCTTCTGACCTGGACTCTGGAATGCCTCTGTCTGTAGACCAGTGTGTGCAGTTAAAAAAAAAAAGCCAACAACCAACAAATCCTTTTACTTTTCAAAATGAAGGCTGCATAGTAGAGTGGACTTGTGGAGAGGGATTGTATAACAGTGAAAGAATTTTACTTTTCAAAGACAAGAGTGAACTGGGGGCGAGGGGGAGGTGAGCAGGGAAATAAATGCAGCAATGAATGTATAGAAATCCATAGTCTTTGTAAATGTTCATTAAAATTAAAATAACCAAATCAGCTGCTGCCAAGTTGATTCCAAGAGATGGCACCCCCATGTTTGTCGGTACAATCTGAGGGTTTGCAAAGGCTGGTGTTTCAGAAATGGACCACTCGTCCACCTGAGGCACCACAGGGCAGGTGCAAACTGCCAACCTCGCGTCTACAATTGAGCACGTGACCACTTGTCCTACACAGGGACACTTCCGAAAGGATGAAAATTACCATCCAGTCAGAGCCTTGGATCACAACTTATTTTAGAAGTATCTTCTCCATGTCGATGTGCTGCTTTTATTAGGTGTCGTCAAGTACGACTCATAACTACGCTATCCCTGTACCATCCTCATCATCTCCACTCGGTCACCATTTGCAGAGCAATTGGTTTCACAAATCAACAAAAGAAAAAAATTGAAGAGATCGTAGAAATGATCACTTCACCAATGTGCAGGAGACTTGGGAGGCAAAGAAATACAGCTTAGGAATAACTAACCTGGGAGTATAACTGAGCCCAATATCTACTTCTGTGTCTACTCACATGCTCAGGGGAGAAGTGCCTTCCACTCCACACCTTCAACCGGAAAGCAAGCACAGTGTGTCCTGGGGTGGGGGGGGGAGTGCATGAAGCTGCATTTCCTCAGGCTCTCAGCCCTCGGAAGGCTCATGTGGGAGCATGTGTTACGTGGTGGGAGAGCAGAATGGTACCCCGTGTCTGTGCTGACTGCTAAGAGTCAGGAGAACGCATGGCCACTGTAACCAGCAGGCCCAGCTGCCACCAATGATTCCTAACCTTTACCCTCACCCACTCCATGCCCATCTAAGACCGACAGAAGCCATGGGTTTGCATTGCAATTCAAAATACGGCGATGTATAATACAGGAAATGCAGAAGGGAAACAAGTAAGTGTCATATGACTTCAGAGACTGTTGATGGTGGTGCTGCTCTGTCAGCCGCGCTCCTAGTGACCTTGCATAGGACAGACAGCCCGTCCTGTGTCTCCCTCACAATCTCTCTCCTGCCCACGCCCAGACCTGCAGCCCCTCCACCAACCCATCCCCTGGATGGACTTTTCCTCTTTCACTTCCCTTTGTTTCCAATCTTGATGTCACTTTTCGGGAACAGGCCCCTCCTACTAACACACTCAAAGTGGAATGTGAGATGAAACACCCCCATTCTTGCATCTAAGGAATATTCTGGCTATATTTCTTCCAAGACAGGTCTCTCTGTCCTTTAGTCTTCCAAGTTCATTGACAGAAAGGGGTCAATTTGGCGAGCTCTGGTGGCCTAGTGGCAAGAAGCTGCACTGCAATCCAATAGGTGCACGGTTCAAATCCACCAGATGCTCTGCTGGAGAGGGAGGCACAATCTCCTCCTGTACCAGTCAGATCTGATGTGACGGTACACACAAAAAAATAATAAAATTTAAAAAAATAAAAAAAGAAAGGGGTCAATTTAAAAAAAAACCAATTGATTGCCATTAAGTTGGAAACAACTCATAGTTGATCCTCTCACATGTTCTTTGAGGCTGTAAATGGCGTAGGGGGCTGTGAGGAGATGGCCCATAGTTCACTGTCAGAGCGTGTGGTGGATTTGAACTGGCAGAGACACCACCTTTGGGTTACCAGCACACCTCCCTGTAGACGTGGCCACGACAGCACTCCTCTAAAGAGAGATGAAGCCCACATTTAGACCAACTGGATTTAATAGCACTGTGCCTTTTCCACAGAGCTTTTGGTATACTGTATTATTACATGTGCTGCTAACCAAAAGGTCAGCAGTTCAAATCCATCAGTCACTCCAAGGAAAAAGATGGGCAGTCTCCTCTTGTTACAGTCCATGGCCCAGGACCCACTGGAGGGTCGGTATGAATCGGGAATGACTCATCAGCAGTTAGT